GTATAGCTATGCCAGGTTGTGGAAGTACACCTGATCTATTACCAGAAGGTACATTTGTTTCTGTAACAAGAACCTTATTGTCTGGATCGCCCCAGCGACTACGTTTTCTTCTTTTCCGTTCTTCTTTATTATCGTCCTTTAACTGATCTGCTAACAGTAGCATATATAAAATATGTATTTATAAAACTTGTGCTAAATGTCATTGAATATGTATACGTGTAGTTATTCACCATGTAAAGTTGAATGAGATTTCTGAGATTTATCCTCGTCATTGTCACTAAGAGCTTCTTCAGGACAATAAAGTTCTGCACCACTGTTCTTCTTATCCTTATCTGGCTTCTCCGCACGTAATTTTGAAACCAATCCCCTGTACTGCAGATACGCTGCACTTTGCTTTTGGTGCAGAAACCTTGATTAAAATGATACTTAAAACGCTGTCTAGTAATATGTATTCCTATAGATACAATACTTTCATAGAAAAAATATAACGTCAATAAAAAGTAAAAAGTAGCAGAAGAAAAGTTTAAAATATTATTTGGATTGAGGAAATTGGAGGCATTGATATTATACATAGTATATATTTAGCATTTGAAAATATACGCAACATATAAACACCAAAAATAAGAAATAGCGTAAGTTTAAAAGAATATACAGTTATGCTTCAAAAGATACGATTATAACTTGAAAATTGTAAAATGAAATTTTGAAATAATAGATATCTTTTTTGTCTTTAATTAATATTGAAATCCACATAAAATCTTAGAATGTAAAGCATAGATCATATTAGTGATTATTCTTAGCATATATTGAATAGGTTTAGATATTGGAATATTCATTAAATATAAAAATGTTTTATAAATATATCTAAATGGAATATTTTCTTATTAGTTAAATATATTTTTTTAACACATTAAAAACAACAAAAACTTGAATTTTGAGAATAAACATGTTTAAAACTAAACAATAAAAGAATACAACACAGTAAACTTTGCAGCAAAATGTATACAGAAAATCATTCATTTAGAAGATAATTGCGTATTTTGCCTCAAGTTTTTTCATATACCATATCTTTTGTAACATTTTCTATAATCTCATATAAATTCTTAATTTCTTTCATGTAAAAAATAATTATATTAGTAATAGAACATTTTAAAGTCTACAAGAGAAATAGTAAAGTCTACAATTTTTTTTTATGCTAAAAGAATTATGGGTTATCAAATATATATGATTATTGTGATTGTAAGAAAAAATATGTTCAATGTGAGAATACATTCATTATTAACAATTTTGTCAAACGAAAAAATAGTTTGCTTCATAAAAATATAATAAACATGTAGGAAAATTTATGTAATTAGCAATTTTTTTGCGATACAATTGATATTTAAGAATGCAAGCACACTTGCAAGAATTCACATTAAGCGGACATTCAACAAAATTGTACATTCAATTTTTCATGTTACTAAGATGTCAAGAACTATGTGATAGAGATTTGTACAATGTCCTATAATACAAAATAAAATATTATCGTCCTAGATATTATAAAAGTATTAATTATATTACAAACAAGGATCAGGGAAATGGAAATACAAAACGAGGACCAGTGAGGACAGTAGTTACCATAATTTAGGATCTTGGGCATTCTTCTCTCGTACTTCTTGTTCTATCTCATCCCCACAGTCAGCCACGATTCGTGCCAGCTGCTCAGCCTCTACTAAACACACTTAGAATCCTTTGTCAGCTACTTTGTATAATAATGTTTCAAATATTTGTCTATATATGTGTATGTGTGTGTGTATGTATGTGTGTGTATATGTACAATATAAAGAATATTGTACATATTATTTCTATTTTATTATTTTTTATATCTTATAACAATTTATCTTCCTAGTTTCCCACAATATTATTAAAATTGTACAAGAGGAAACAATGTGTCTAGTGCTTAAAGATAACATTATACAATTGTGCGACACAAAAGAAACGTATTTCCTAACTGTAATATCATACCTTGTTGTTCGGAATTTTGTAGATTAGCCGGTGGTCTGACAGGTGGTGGTATTTGTACGTTAGGAGGGCCCACCGAAATAGGTACCTGATTGGAAAGAGCATAGCCGCTGGATATGAGACCACGCGATGGTGCTGCATTAGGAATAACATTAGGTGGTGGGATGTTTGGCGGAGGGATGTTCAAGTTTGGTGGTGGAACCGAATTGATTGTTGATGGGACGGTATGCACTGGCGGAGGTGCTGACATTATCATAGATGTTATCACATTTGGAGGTGGAACATTAGCTACGTTTGGTACCGTTACTACAATGGTTTGCGAGCCTGTAATAGGCATCATGGTCGGTGGCATTTGAGACATTGGTGGCAAAATGTTCGGAGGTGGTATGTTAGGCGGAGGAATATTCGGAGGTTGTAAATTAGCATTGCACGCTGGCGGTGGTACGCTGCATTGTTGTGGATTCTGTATAATATGCTGTTGTGCGTTTGATGGCGAGGACAAATTGGGCATTGGTATAGCTTGAGACATTTGCATATTTGGTGGTGGAACATTTGTATTTGGTGGAATGCTCTGAATAGGAGGAGGAGGTGGAGGACGTATAATATGTGGTGATGCGATTTGCATTCTCACATTATTAGAATGCTCATTTATGTTAGTGTAATTATTGCTAAAATTTTTTGACATTGGTATCCTTTGCATATGCACAGATGGAATACTTGGTGTCAAGTTCCTTATATTCGGAGGCGGTATATTTGTCATTTGCATCTGCACTGGTTGAGACATGAGGGACGGGATGGAAGAGACGTGGTTATTATTTTGAATTGGGAATTGCTGATTCTGAAATTGTGTGCGTTGTCCATTTTGTGATTGATTATAGTTATGCCGCGCCTCTGGACTAGGTGGTGATCTTCGCCTGGTAGGCGACGGACTCGACGACGAACTGTGTTTCCTATCTGAACTTCTTCCCCATCGTGTATCGTTTCTTCGGCGATCGCGTCTGCTGTCCCAATCTCTACTCTTTTCAATGCTGCGCTTTCTTTCTCTGTCTCTCTCTCTAACAGCTTCATAATTTCTCTCATCTTTTCTTTTATCTTCTTTATCCTGTTCTTGTTTGCTAGTTGTTTTATTGGCAATTTTTTTAAATTGATCAAGAAAACTGCCGTCATTGGCAAACACATTCATAGTAGGCTTTTCATCATCCTCCCTACAGAGATAAACAATGACTTTTACTATTGACATTTTCAATATAAATATGACAAACGCGTAAATTATAACATAAACTATAACATAATTTCGTCCGAAAGGCTGAGTTGACATGACAACAACACGATACATAAGAGATTTACTTTACTTACTTGGGCGCAGTGCTCTTACTAGTTGCTGTAGTGGAAGTTGACGAGTTAGACTTCTTCATGCATTCCACGGCTTCTTTCGCTTTCTGTTCTTGCAGTTTTGCTTGGATTTCCATCTTTTTTTGTTGGATGATCTGCTCTTGTTTTGACATCTGCGCGAAACGTTCATTTCGTGAAGTTTTTGATACAAACGGATCAGAACCCTTTACACCACGATACGCCATTTTTGTCAGCAGTTTAGCCACTCGATTCTACGAGCGACTCTATGAGATTTTACGGACGGATGATTAAAAATCAATCTATGTATCTTGAATTTTTTATCTCAGGATCGTACAATGACTAATACAAAAGATTTACGTCCGACCACATACAGTGGAGTTTCATATTTCATCTGATTTCATCGAGCAATGTCGACATGTCGGCCATATATATTTTTACTTGTGTAATGTCTGCCAACTGAAACTGACTGAAACCGAATTGAGACAGCAGTGCTTATATAGTAGATATTTCAATGCCAATTGTTGCCAATTATAACCGTTTATATTCGGTGAAGTCGGTGAAGTCTATCTATAGTAAATATACGTAACCAATTAAAACACGCGTGCACTGAGAAACAACCAATCACGCATTAGATATTAGGAATGCAGCAAATATAGCACTTTGAATGCGCCAAATATCACAAATGATTACTAAAGGTCGGTTTCACCAATGCTAATTACTTATTAATCGGCGTTTAATCGATCAATCGTATTTGTTGTTTAGTAGAACTTGACTGGTCAATTCTACTAAAACAGCAGGTGAAATCGACCCTTATACTTTAATAATTATTTAATAACTTTAGAAACAAAAATTAAATATTTTTTAACATAATTTTAACGACATAATTTAAATTAATAGATCGTTTTGTAGAATTTATATGCTGGGCTTACATTTTGTCCCTAATATTGCACTTTATTTTTAAACATATAGACATACAAATAAAAATGCTTTACAATATTTACGTTATGATATATATATAACTATGTATATGTACTGTGTATATATATGTGTGTGTGTGTGTGTGTGTGTGTGTGTGTATGGTGTGTGTGTATATATGTATACATATATATACACACTGATATAGTAAATATCGACATATATATATTGGTATAGAAGGAATATAAGTTACATAAAAACGACATAATATAAAATAGTAAAAATCAGTACAGAGAATCAGAAGTTTCATTATTACAAGTGCAAGTCGCTGTAGCGGATCTAGCCTCTTATAGCGACGAGAAAAATTTATATTCATATAGAATGATATATGTATATTTTTAGACTGAATTCTCTATTTATCCAAGTTGCTAATCATTCCGCCACAGCACACATCAAGCTGCTCAATAAATTTTCTTAAATACCGACAGTACAATTTACTGATCAATGTCAGAGTATCCTACAAAGCCCATATCACTTATAGCTACTAGAAGTTTATCGATCATAGTTAACAGCGTTCAATTACAGACCAAACACATAAGCTTAAAGCGCTTTAAGTCGCGTAAAAGTGGTTATATAATAATCTCTGTAAAATACTCTGAATTACTATGACTTCTCGTTATTCCAAACGAGAGATCTTCCCGCGAGATTAGAGTTACTTCCGAAAACATTCCTTTTAACTATTAAGATTATAAGTGGTGCCGCCACTTTCGGCGTAATCAAATTAATATTATGCTTGGCTTTGAATTCAGTCTTAAAATTTCTCTACTGGGTAGTAGCGTCCTCTTGCAATATCTCAGTAAAACGAATGCTACTCCCATAACCAGTCTTTCCGTTCCTGTCACTCGGTGGAATTATCGGAGTAAACTTGATCGAAATGTTTGTACAACTCTGCCTCGCATTCCAATATCTTGCCTCTGATAACGGGTTATTACAATTATTTACGCTATGTGTGCGAGCTGTTCGCAACAAGAGTAATATTACGAAAATCGATTCGTAAAAGCTTTACTGAAATACTTCATTGTTTTTGGTAGTTTGTACAACCGGCGGCTTGGAATTGGCATGATTGTCCTGATAATGCTTCCATAGGCCAGTAACGTTGTTTACCTGCGCACCACATCCAGGCATTTTGCATCTAGACATTAAATATTCGGATGTTGGAAAATCTAAAATATACTTACAAAATGTATGTACATCAGTATACTTACATAAAGAAGCTGACAGTAGATGCCTTTCCTTGCTTTACCTTTGGCATTTGCTTATCATTATTGGAATTAATTGTATTTGTGACTAATTTATGACTGTCTTGATGATGACGATAATGCGATATGTATTTGTACTTCTTTCCGCAACCATTGATGTCGCATTTATATGTTTCTTGTTTGTACCTAGACATGCGTTGTTTTTTTGGAGTGTACTCCTCGTCATCCGAACAATTGCTATTTGTTTCCATCGAGCTCTCTTCGATTTTTAAAGAATTTTCACGCTCAAGACCGTTTCGAAAAACTCGTTCCATATTTCCTAAATCTATTCTATGCTCCTGATTTCGTAAATTTAAATTGCATATTTCCATTTTCATATTTTTCGTAATAGTTATGTCGCTATTTATGTAAACCACATTATTCTTATCCTGCGTGCACTCCACTTGAAGGATTTCTTCACATTTTGGAGTTCCAGTATCGTATTTTCGTAAGAAATTATCTTTCATTATAAGCAAATCTTCACTATTTGAAAACTTGTTCATACCATTCAAAGATTCATTATTCGAATAGTCTTCGCTGTTCGTAATCTTTTGCTCATGACAAAACTCGTTCTTCACCTGAATTTTTGCTTCGTTTCTAATAGAACAATTTTCTTCTTTATTTCCATATTCTTCTTTTATAGTAAAATTTTCACTTGGCAGTTTTTCGTAACATCCCTCGTCAGTCTTTTGCATGACTTCTTCGTCTATTGCATTTTCGGGGCCTTCGAAACAAATTATCTCAGGCTCTATTGGCAGTGTGGGTGGTTGTCTATGACAACTTTCAATATGCTCTTCAAGATTACCACTAGTAGATTGCAAAGATCCACAATTGGTATATGGACATACAAAGACATTTGTTTCATTATTATGCCATTCTTGATAATGTCTCCACATACTACCCGGATCTGATAATTCTTCTCCACAACCTGGCTCACGACAACTGTAAAAAGTTCATAAAAAGATATAAATAAAATCTTAAAATGAATTTTAAATTTAATATTATTAGTAAATTTAATATTATTAGTAAATATTTTATAATATTTTATCAAAATCATATTAATCAGTTGCAGAGATATATATTATTCATTGTCTATTAGTGATAAATTGATTTCTACTCACATAAATCGAATTTTTAAAGCTTCTAGTGCCTCATGTGTTTTATATTCATCTTGATTAGTGAACACCTTACCACAACCTCGTTGTTTGCAAGTATATACTTCCTATATATTGAAAATTGATTGAGATATTAGATTTTATTGAATATGAAAAACAGATAAAAAACATTTTAATAGAAATCCAATCACTGATTATACAAATACTGAAAAAATATATCCATTCATGATCATCAATACAAATGTAAGAATAATTTCCAGGTATGTTTAGCACCTAAATCTGGACTGATTAAGATTTTATTAAATAAAAATAAATAAATATTTGATAAACTATAATTTCAACAAATGGCAAACAAGTTATGATTAATTCAGATTTAGGCACTAAATATGTATATATAAAAAAATAGTTTTGCTCATAAGGCCTGTTCTTTTTAACTGAACTTTTGCACCAGTTCATCTTTCCTCCTTTCTTCTTTAGGAATCATATATTAAAAGATTTCTTTTAAAAGACAAGTAAATTGATTGCTTATTGAATTCAAGTTAAAACTAAATAAACTTATTAAAACAAAACAAACATTGTTGCACCCACTCCGATTTATTCTATTTGTTTTGACTTAGGGGTCATTGACCTTAGGCGACCAATGACTCTACCGAAAACTTCACCTTTTTCGGTGCAATTTCCTCGATGGTACGATTTCGCGAGACAAATCTGATGACGCTGACCTCCGTGGGCCGATCAGCGCACGTTTCCGTACCCTGGCCCATCCTGCGATGACTCGCCTCGAACAACGGCGAGCAAGGGGAGGATGAGCTCACTCACTCGCTCTACTCGCAGAGCTCACATAACCTGTATCCTCGTGACGATAAGTTTGACAGAAAAAAATTATGTCTTTGTTGAATAAAGCCTACACGGAAATTTCACGATTTCTCGATGGGGCTGACGCTTGGATCTCGGCACTTACCGACCAAACGCGCCCTCGAGTATGCACCAAAAATACGTCGTCGCTTCCAGCTCACATTATCACTCTGTCAATAATAACAATTATTTGTGTTGTCAAGTCAGTGCTGCAGAATTTTCTCAATCGTCTGTCGCAGAGTCGATTTAATACATTGAGAACCGCTGCTATATGGCCTAATGCAACACGCATAAAATGTATCCTAAAAAACATAACAGAATGTGAACGAATAAGTTTAATTTAATAAAATATCTAAAATTTTTCACATATTTCCAAAAATTGCGATCTCAATAATTCGGAATTTAACATTGTAAAAATTATAAATCTCTTTTTATAAGTTTTGGAACGCAATAAAGGAAATTTCGGTTATTTTTAGCCCTCTGTTGGAATAAGTGTAAACTATGGGTTTTTCTTGATGCTTGATGATTTTTCTTTGAGAATTCCATTTATTAAAGAGATGTCTCCATTGACATAAAAGTCTATTTTTTTATTGCTGTACTCCCTGAACTGATCCACATAGTGTAATAAGTTGAAGTGAAATAAACATATATTTATTTCACTTCAATTTATTGCACTGTGTGCACCAGTTCAGAGAGTACAGCAATAAAAAACAGACCTATAGAATGGACCACCGATAATAGTGATGGGGATAGAAAGACGAGTAGGGCAGACAAATGGATGAATGTTTTTTCTCTGTTTTAGATTCTGATTGATTAATTCTGCTCTTGTTTCGCTATTCCGCTGCATGCTGGATTCACACTAAATCCGACGTGCGTCGTAAGACGTACTGCAACCAATCAGAAAGCAGAATTTTATTTTGTATCGATACGAAGCAAAATCCTGTTTTCTGATTGGTTGCAGAGCCTCGTACGCCACACGTCGGATCCAGCATCACTCCAGAATATGGGTAGGCACCCTTAAGGTGCTTTTTCATGCCGGTGCTTGACGTTCATTTTCAGCGTCAGAATAAGTTACGTGATAGAAACTGACGAATATTAAGCGTCCAATTTTGATCACATGACTTACTATGACGCTGAAAATGAGCGTCGAGTGTCAACATGATAAAACACCTTTAAAGGTAAAATCACACGGTGCGGAATAAAAAATGCGTCATTGACCTTGGGTTTAATCCGGATGAGAACACAAGAACCAATCAACTACAACATTCCCTTGTCGTTCGATTGTAACAGGGGAATACTCGACTGTAATTGGTTTGTTCTTATATTCTGATCCGGATTAAACTCTCGGTGGAAACTAGGCCATTGAAGCAACCAATCAACGTTATTCCGCACTTTTCCATCACACAAGTTTTGTGTGCTATGTTTACATGGTGCATCAAAGATGCATCCAGGATGAAATATAATTTAAACACTACTAACTTTATGTTAATAATTAGCTTATTAAAATGAAATATAATTTAAAAAATTATAAAAACCATTATTACTGTTATAGTATTTAATATTTTACAATTAATATTTATACAATCTTATAACATTTTTTAAACTGTTTTAACGCATTTATTATCATTTTTCCGCATCGTATGAAGAGGGCACGCTGAAATCGCATGTAATGCGTCATTGTTTTTTGATCTTGGTATCTATACTTACGCATTTAGATTTTGTCATTTTGCTTCATTCGTCTCAACATTACGCAATTCCTATTAATCAGCATCAAATTATTTTAATCTTTCAAAATAGAACGGTTTTTTACAAGAATACGGTTTAGGTGATTTTACGGTTTAGGACATGTATGACGCATTTTCTATTCCGTAACATCAAATGCGGAATAGCGCTGATTGAAGTGGTTGTTCCAATGACGCATTCTCTATTCCACAGTAATTTCATCCTTACGGAACGGAACTGGGCCCCTATTCTTGAAAAATCGCATACAAAAAATTAGGGGAATGCTATAGTATATGTAACGCATACTATAGTATTTCCCTAGTTTTTCATACGCAATATTTTTCGAGAATAGAAGCCCTGGGGATCGAGTCTGTATCTTAAAACGAGGTTATATATTATATAAAACATTTTATATATATTACATTTTTTATATATTATATAAAACATTTTTCCCCGGGCACAACGTTAAAAAATAATGTAAAAAAATCTCTCTACGCAGAAGTCGCTGATTGGCAGTGAGCAATTGAAAGTGTAAAGTAAACCACTCTCTCTTAAATCAGAGAGAAGAAAAATCTGTGCCATATATTATCATATAGTTTATTAAAAAAATTTATTGTTACATATATATTCTTATATTATAATTACTCACAATTTATATGGAAAATAATTCGCATATTTATAGTATTCATTGGCTACGTTCAGTAGAGAAAACTAATCAGTTAGCGCTTAATAATTCTTTAATACGATTGATTCCTACATTTAGATTTAACAAAGAACTAAGAGCAAGAATCAATCATATTAAAGAATCACAAAGAGCTAACTGATTAATTTTTTCTACTGAACGCAGCCATTCTAACATTCAAATATAATAAAAATAATTTGAATTTTGAAATTTATTAGTAGAGTTATATACACTAAAAAATATAAAATTATTGTGTGTGTGTGTGTGTGTGTGTGTGTGTGTATTCGTCTTTAAATATAATTAACCTTATATCCAATAAGAAATAACAATGAAATTGATGTCGATTCCATTATCATTTTTCACTGAGATAATCCCTATGAATATAATTAACTTTCTATTTTAATTTATAATACAATATTAATTTATAATGTATTATTTTAAACCAGTGCTAGGATTTGCTTGCATTTCGGCCGATTTTCAGCTTGCCTGATGAAAATAAAACGTAAAGCGAGTGTCAATAAAGCGTTAACTGGAGTGTAAAGGAAGTGTAAGAAGAGAGTAACAGAAACGTAAATAAAACCTAAAGAAGTGAAAATTGGAACATGGAACGTAAACGAAGCGTCAGTTAAATTAAAGATATAAATCATAAATAAAGCATAGATAAGTTCTTCGGCAAGCACGAGTGTTCGTTAAATGTAAACGGAGCGTGATTAGTCATAGAGAACGTAAATGAAGCATTGTCGCACTCAAAGAAAAAAGTCATACTAATAACTATAAATTTGTAGTGAAATAGCGCCTCAACTATATACATATTATTAAATTCTAATAAAAATAGATTAAATGAACTAAGAAAATATAGTAACATTAACACAGTACAACACACATTCCCTCCCATGAAAAAATCAAAGAGATTCTAAAAGTAAATGTAAAAAAAAAATACCTGTGTTTTATCAGATCAAGTCGTTAACATTTTTTATCCAGCCATTTATCGTATTTGCTTCATATTTTTACAATTGTTTTTGACTTTTTACAATTGTTTTAAATTATATAATAATTTTTTAAAATAAATAATTGATGTTTTTGTGAAATTATGCGATGAATCCGAATACAAAAAAAACAATTGAGAATTATTTTTTCATACATTTTCAAATTTTCGTATAATAATAATAATATAATTATAATTATAATTATTATAAGAATCTTGGTCGTTTGATTTGCTGTTTATATGATTCCGATTTTGTATCACGAACAATAGACCAACAGTATTCACCAAGCATATATCTGATGTCTTTTCCTTTGAAGCTTTTCTCAATGTCTTAGCGAAAGTGTTCACTATGTTCATCATTGAATTTGATAGAAAAAAATCCAATTTTGATTGTGAAGAAAGTGTATTTTGAGCAACACGTTAACTTTCATTGCATGAAAATAATAATTTCGATTTGGACACTGCATTATTGTTTATTTTAATATTTCCTTCACTTTCAATTTCGTTTTAAATGTACAGTTTGAAATTTCATCAACTAAATCCGCGGTCGCGACTGTTCGAACTGAGCAAGAACAGGGAATAAGCTGGATTGTGATTGCTGGTTGTTTACGTCGCTTTGTTTAGGTCGCGACAATGTCGAAGAAAGTCAGTACCGAGACACGGATATGTTTTCCTAATATATACTTTCAGAATCTCTTTGAATTTTTCATGAGAGGAAACTTGTGCTGTACACTATAAAAAGATATTTGATGATACTTAAAAAACGTTAACGAGTTGCTCTGGTAAAACGCCGAGAAGGTATCTTTTTTTATATCTACTTTCAGAATCTCTTTGATTTTTTCATGGGAAGAAAAAAATCGATTTTTGTCGTACTGTGTAATCAATTATAATTAATGGTTAATATTATCTACTATATTTTTTTAATTCACTTAATTTATTTATTGTTTTTCCCAGCAAACGAGAATGGATTGAAATGGATAATGTATTCAGATTTTCAGAAATACGAATTCACGAATGTTAAAATGAATCCTTTTCAATCCTGAATGCATTTTTATTCATTTATAGAAATGGCATGGAGTATATTTTTATGTTTTTCAATTTAAAAATAATATTATAGTATATCGTGTGTGTGTGTGTGTGTGTGTGTGTGTGTGTGTGTGTGTGTGTGTGTGTGTATTCAAAATTGTGAATAGGAAATGCAGTTTTTCAAACCAGTTGAATCTAAAAATAATATCGGCAATTTCTGTGCATCATGAATACTGCTTAATTAAAAATTCTGAATAGGAAATGCAGTTTTTCAATCCAGTTGAATCTAAAAATCAGTCATATCTGTGCATCATGAATGCTGCTCAATTCAAAATTCTGAATTGGAAATACAGTTTTTTAATCTAATTGAAAATCTAAAAAAAAGTTTTTCTTTTAAAATGAGCCATAAATACTATTCAATTCAAAATTGTAAATTGAGTAAAAAATCCATTGTTTCATTTAAAAATGTATCATGAATGCTACTTAATTCAGAATTATGAATAAGAAATTTTTCGTTTTAATTCAATTAAATAAAAAAAAGATATGTAAAAATTTATAAAACTACATAATTACAGGTACTTCAATTGCAAAAGTTGCCAAATTTATAGTTACCAGAATTTCGTTTTCTCTCAATGCGAATTCTTAAGTCTGAATGTACGTGAATGAAATGTAATCGAGGTCCTTGGTAAGCAAAAAAATGATAATAATATTTTAAAATATATTTCATTTATTCGGTAAATATCTAAAAAAAGTGCTTTTATGGAGCCCTGGGGGCTCACTTCAAAAAAATTATTTCATTAGAACACAACTGAAAAATCTTTCAATCACGTCTTTTATCCTAGTCTGAGAAGTTTTTTGAATTCGAGAAATTAGTTCTCGCTAAGTTCCTCTGATGGCGGAGCCGCGTAATACTCAACGCTTCGTTTACGTTCACTGTATAACTCAATAACACTTCGTTTTAAAATAAATTTTTTTATTTCTACTATCTTGGAAGTGTACACGAAACGTATTTGAATGTTCTGCGTACTCTTTGCGGAACGTTTAAAAAGCGGAGACGAAGTATCAATAAATAAAGTGTTTAGAAAGTGTATCACGCTCCATTCTTTGCGAAGTATTGTGGAACATTTGGGAAACATTATTGAAAAAAAAAAAAATTTTAACGTGTGGAAAATGTGACAAATGTGTTTCGGGCACATTTTACTTCACCACGGAGCATTTGAGTAGAGTTTGAGGAGCGTGTATAAATATTCAAAACCACTAAGAATCAATGGAAAGTCAATGAAGTGTTTAAAAAGCATTAAAATTCTTTGTTCACACTTCTTGACGCTTCGATAAGCTTTACATTTTCATTAGGGTTGATTTCTGCCCCTTACTTCACTTCACTTCAGTAAGAGGCAGGAACCAAGTTAGAAATTGACCGAAATGTGCAAGTAAATCCCAACTATTTTAAACATATGTATATTATTAAAATGAAATCTTGATAAAATATTAACTAATTTCTTAACTAGTCTTTTTAATTGTCATTAGGATAATTTATCTCTAAGAATTTATTTTTCTTATTCGTATCATACGTTCTTTAGCTGCTTTAAATTGTTCAAGAACATTTTCAACATTATTCATGAGTGTATCTGTGCTCATTTTATCCGAATCATCTCTTTGATAATTGAAATATTTCATGTGTGCTCCACTTTGATGTATTATATTCATATAAATTTTAATATTCCCACTCGGTACGACTTTCAAATTTGATTTATTTAAAACTTTACCTTCGTGATTAATTGGAATACCGCAATATGTTACATCCTCAAGTTCATAAGAACCACCAACAAAAAAACGTCTCAATGTATCAATAATACTTCCTTTCGCACGCCATGTAGGAATTGTAAATTTGTGTCTACCAGGTGTCATTGGTATTGGTAATGCTGCGTAACCTTCTATTCGATACCTATATTAAAAGAGAGCAATATTTTATATCATAATATTATTGACAAATAGAAAAAAAATTGTTTTTAACTAAATAATATATATATATATATATATATATATATATATATATATATATATGTATTTCGAGAAACAAGGCTTTCTACGTAATTACCTGGTCCAACTATCTAGAGATGCTACGGAGAATAATAATCGAGGCCAACGTGATGATGTATTATTATTTAATGATTGAAATTCATTTGATGGATAATACAAGGGTATGTCAGTACAATAACTAAAATGTGCAGTTTTATTTTCTAAACGGCTTTTCTGCGTTCTGCCGACCAATCTTTCTTTCTGATTTGTACTCCAATGTTGCGGCAAATCGATGAAATAGGTAATAAACAATCCATCGTAAGAGAAATCATGAGCTGATACAATATCCAAACTTATAACTAGTGCGGATAAATTCGCTGGTGGCGATTGTAATTCCTTGTATAATTCTGTTTCTTTATAAGCAAACTGCTGTTGTACTTCCTGCAATAAGAAAAATATTATAAATATCTAGATATTTTATTAATATACCATTGCAATTATAATATATATGCTTTAAACTTATTATCAATTAACTTATTGTTTAATAATTTTGAAATGCATATTGCAAAATATATTCAATTTCTTTCTCTTTCTCTCTCTCTCTCTCTCTCTCTCTCTCTCTCTCTCTCTCTCCTTCTCTCTCTATATATATTTAATTATTTAAAAATATATACATATTTTTATAAGAAATCACGGTCTTAATTGTATTAATCTCTGCTTACAATAAGAAATTAATTAAGAGAGAAATTATTTTTAATAAAAAAAGTTTGAATAAGCGATACATCCAAAAATCCAGCTTACGACATGGATTTCAAAGAAATTTTCACATCTATACGTATCGTAATAGTCTTTAATAGCGCGTGAAATATTAATCATTAATCTCTGCTGCTTTGCAGCAAAGTGCAGTGATAAATGGAAGCTACTCATTGCCGTGAGATAGTGTGCGTAAGCATACTATTCTATGTTCGCAGATATATTCCTGCCCCACTATGCACGTATAAACTGTATATACACACGTATAAGCTGATAGCACTACATACAGCCTCATGGAAGAGAGCGTTCATGAAGATAGTCGGTGAACTATAGAATTCAGTTGATCGTAGGAAGTGCAGTGATCAACTCAGCACGTGCGTGCTTTCATAAAGAAATACAAACACACGCGCCTATCGTGATTATCATTAATATATATGCCAATTAAATATAACAAGAGTTTAGTCTTGCAGACTGTTCTATCATGCTTGAAAATATGACGAAAAAGTCGATAGACTGTAAGACTGTTGGGTGTGTCTTGAACGACCGGAAGAGAGAAAGAACATCAGTGAACTGACGGATTTTTCGTGAAGATGCCGTAATCCACATCGAGTGTCAGGGACAGTTACAGTGTACATAACGCCAAGGCAATCATGTTCTATCCACAGCGAGCAATGCGTCAGATCTCGGAAATCTCCTACGTGGGGTACGTATGCATGTTTCTCTTTCTTTATTTTTACTTCTTTTCTATACGACCGGCAAAAGGTTTCGATAGCGCGCTCGCGCAAACACTTTCTGCAATATTCTTCTGATACCGGGTAATGATGGGCTGTTAATCGTCATATCATGATGGATTCATTGTATTTTTTCGCAGACAATGATTGAACTTATTGTCAAAATAAGTGGATAAATGCATAGGTACATCAAATTGCTTCATCGTGCCTCTCCATTACTTAATAAATATTATAAACGACATTGCTCGATTTTCCACGTGCTGCGTCGCGTTTGCTCGTACTTGACCAAACTATTAGCGCATAACCGAGAACTGCTTCTACAAAAAGTAAAAATAACTACTCAGACTTTCGAAACAAAGTAAATTATATTGTTGGTATAGTATAATACGAATATAATTAATTGTGCCTGTATTACGCAATATTACATAATTAATGTATTACAATAATCTTTTATGAATTTATATAATATATTTTATTTAATATATTATATTTTATTTTATATAATATATTATATTTAAATAAACTCAAATTATATTAATTGATCGTTATACACTTATCATTACGATAATCCGATGATTTTCATAATGTATAATTTTTTAATTTTCTTATTAAAATCATATAGAAGATAATTAATAAAACAATATATGTCTCCAAAATTTCTATGTAAATATTGCGAAAAATGATTTTCGACAATAATAGTGTCACCATTGTGACGCTATTACCGTAATTATTTGCGCCACACGTATCTCTTATTATTGCAGTTCATTTTTCGCAAAGTAATGATGACCAGCATTATGTTATATACATTTAAAATCTCTACACAAAGTTAAGCAATAGTATTCTCAAAGTAACATACCTCATATTTTCGGTCCTCGATCATAATGTAACTAAATATTATTATGATCTGATACTAATGAAAATTAAATAAAATTAATCTGATATTGATAAAAATTAATAAATGTAATTAATAAATATATTTACCACTCAAGTGATATTCGAAACATATTTAAATTATTATAATATCCAATAATTGCCATTAATTATTAATTAAATAATTAATCAATTATTTGTTAACTATTAATTAAATATAAATCATTACTAAATTATAAATAGTATTACATTATACAAAAGTCGGAAAAGGAGAGAAAGAGCGAATGAGTCAGAGCGGAAAGAATTATTGGTTATTAATGTAACTGCGGTTGCGGGACAAATAAACGGACGTCGAGATTGGTCTTTCCACGAAAAGACCGTCTTTTTGATCGTTGCGCGTGTGGTGACGCGAAAGTTTGGTATGCCAATCGTACATTCGCGTCGTAAATAGCCGCATACTTACACGCCGCACGTCTTCGAGGTGCTCCTGTAATTCCAGCGGTGTTCGCTCCTCGGAAACGTGCTCGATCCAATAATTAAACCTGACGCCGTAATCGTTGGTGACGTTGTAGTGCAGCTTGTGCTCGTCATCGATCGTGAAATCGGGATTAATCGTCAGCAATTTGCGCGTTTTGTCATATGTCAACGTGCAGAGCAACGTCTCTGAGTCCGTCGATCCGATGGTCGCGGATTCATCCCTACGCGACAGATCGGCCATCACGTACATGGTGGTACGTTCGGTATAGAGATAATGATTGGACTGGATCGTAGTATCCGTGGTCTTGTCATCTATTACATTCTTGTTATATCGTTCTTGAAAGGATTTGCGATTCCGCAAAGCCGGTAACGCGGTTTGATTCTTCACGGACAAATACGACCTGTAAGCGAGAATGGAAATATTTAAAATTTTCGAAAGTTACGAGATACAAGAAGGAACCGAAACCCACGCGTTCTCTAATGTTTTTCGATACCTCGAATTCGATGATATAATAAACTTAAAATATATGAATCTTAGCCTTTTCTAAGCTAAATGAAAAGGCGTTTCTGTCTTGTACAATAATCCTTTTGTCTTAGAAAAATGAAAGCGCGAGTCAATCATAATTTATCTTTTATACCTATTTTGTTTTTATTTAAAAAATACATTCAAAAAAGATGTTAATGTGTATGTTCTTTTAAAATAAGTGTTACGATAAAAATTTTGTCGAAACTCTTCGCAATCGAATAACAAACATTTGTACAATATCTAATTAATTAAATTCTATCCCTGCCTGTAAGGCATCATCAGGAGGTCGTCATCGGGATAGTAGGAGTCATTTTCCGTATACGAATACAAACATGCACCCTGCAGCTGCTCGTCACGTATACGCTGGTGGTACTCTCGCTGACGTTCGGTTAGACAATTTTTTTCGTCCGCATAGAAGTCAATCTCGAATAAGCTGAACACTTTGTCCTGCCAGCTAAAAATACAATCCTCTTCTTCCAAAAAGTTGGAGTCTCTTGTTTCGCCACCCTCGGACTCCTCGGCCAGCAATTCAGCCAACGGGGACCTCTCCTGCATGACTCGCACCCTAAAACAACAAATAAACGCCGACTAAATGAAACCTAGTATCATTTGGAAAAGGTAGTTTGCGATCAAATGCCCAGTTCATTCTCTAATTCTGCGGAACGTAGATAAGGCCAAGACATTCAATCATTGTTTCAATCTTTGCCACATTCTTGCCTACGTCAGGATTACGAATTAATTATGAGAGAATCGAGTTTGTAAATAGCTTTACGTAATTCTTACATGAGAAAATTGTACTTCTAAAATTTTCTCAGCATATAAAGAAGATAAACACAGAAAGATATTTCAAATATTTTGTTAAATCTTTAAAGAATATTTTTCAGCTTTTAATTTCTCGTGTGTTTTTGACTGGATATTTTACGCTCCAGTAAATAGAATGTATAACACTCGATAATAATAGGTTTCTATGAGTCTAATATTTGCCATTGTTGACGATATCGTTAAAACTTCGTTGAACTTCTTAACATTCCTTTCGAAAATCAATTTGCGAAAAACATAGGAATCACATTATCTCGAAACAAAAGATATAATCACCGACGCAAATATCAGTGATGATACATGAAAAAAAAGTAACCGACAACATACACACGGGCTAGTTACGTAACGTCTCGATGTTGAAGGTTTGTATTATCGCATTGAGCAAGTATGCTGTCTCTTTCATATTTAACCATCGAGTTTGGTTAATCTTTACAAGTTGGGAATGCGGAATTTTCTGCAATGTAAAGTTTAATTCGATGTTCGTCACATGAAGGTAATTATAGTTTTTTTTTTATGTCCATCTATACAAAGAAACTTATGTTAATTAACTTTTTTATTTCATAATCTTTTCGTACATCGTAATCTATCAAATAGCGTATCTGACAAATGAGGCACAATAAGCTAAAACTTGTTCTTTTAATCGATTACATAAATTTATTCTCGGATGCAAGCCTAATGGATTCATATAATAAACAGGGACTCAAATCACATCCTTCTATCACATCCTTCTATAACCTTCAGAAATCTCCTGCTGATTTACTCATCATCAGACGTTATATGCTATTGCATATTGCAGAAAATTCTGCAAGCACAATTGCATAGCTTCATTTTTTTTATATTACGTTCAATTTCAAATTCTATCTGCAAATTTTTAAATTAAAGTTATTTTAATTTGATTCCTGATTGAAATTACGTGCCGCATACACGAAAAGACAGGAAGTAAAATAAAGCAAAATTAACGCAAGAAAATTTCTTTCGTGTAAACAATCGAATTATTATCTCAGTATATCATAATTTCAATTTCCGTACGTCACGCGTTTAAATACAGGAAAGACACACCTTATCTTTAAATTATGTATCGGCTCATTCACTTTATAACTCGCCGCTATCCTCATTCTCTCTTTCTTGCCCACCATCCTTTTTCACCGCGCTATCTTACACGATAGACTCGATTTGATTATTGTTACAAAACGGAAACTGGGGAACGCTGAATAAGCTAAAAGCTAACGGTGGCTGTCAATGATCTCGGGTCGGCTGGGTGGCTTGTTTGTTGATTCGTAACGTCGCTAGGCAACTTCGCTTCGGTTGGCGAGGTGTGGTCTATTACGTAGACATAGAGCATCATCGAAATTCGAGGTGCGTGGTGCGTAGTGATGCATAATCTGCCTGCAGCGGGAAGGATGAAAATATACTTGTTAATAACTTGGAAAAATTATCATTGTTGAGATGAAAAATATATCTCCGTTTAGATTCGCACTTACATGAACAATACATAATCGTGACATGCATATTCTTCATATGCGTGTGTGTAAAGACTCTCTTTCTCTCTCTCTCTCTCTCTCTCTCTCTCTCTCTCTCTCTCTCTCTCTCTGTCCCTTTATTTCTTTTAATAGCTTCATTAGCAAAATGATAAGCAAATTTCCAATGAGTCAGAACGTCACGCCGATGAATACATCAGTAAACGATCGATGTCGTAACTTCTCGTGATTAGCTGTAGGTATTTCCTTCCTCCATACAATAAATGACCGATGTATGAACAACTACGACGTGCGTTGCATTGTGAAAACCTTGAATCGTCTACGATATTATCCTGTATCTACAAAAAAAAGAGCGTTTCAAATAAAGCAGAAAATCTCTTTTCTTGATGAAAATAAAAATCAGAGCGTAAAGTCAAATGTATATAGGAGAATAACAGTTAAGCGTAAACTTCAAATGCTTCTTTTACATTTCATTGTTCCAATTTTCGCCTTCTAGAAGTTTCGTTTACCTTTCTAGCTGTTACTCTCCGATTACATCCGATTTTTATTTTCATCAGGGCTCTCTCTTTCTCTCTTTCGAATTTGAAGCATTTGCGTTTACGCGTCTCGTATAGTATGTAACTATTATAAAAAAAGAACGCAGAGCAATCAGGTTAAAAAAAGAATCTACCCGTCTATCGTCTATCCATCCTATAAGGTTGAGATAAAAAGATTTAAGAATTCGATGAGCTCGGTTGAGATAAAAAGAAAGTCATCGCTCGTTGTCTATCGGAATCTGTTCCTCCAAAATAGAGGACTCGCTTCAAAGAAATGAAAAAAAGGTAGGTAAGTCTATAAAGCCTATTCTATGATGTGCTTTTTTGTTTTCTGTTTCTTACTTTTTGCTATTTTTACATCTTGTCTTTTTGTTTTTTATCCGTTTTCTTGTTTTACATCGCCCGAGATAAAACCTGTTCTACAATTTGCTTTTTGTTTCCAGTTTCTTGCTTTTTGCTTTTTTACATCTTGTCTTTTTGCTTATTTGGTTTTTGTTTTATATCGTCTGAGATAAGAGTTAACGAACTTCGAAAGAAACAACAGAAATACATAGCAAGAAATACAATTGTCGATAAAACGATTGCAAAGGAGTTAGGCTAATTCTACAATGCTCTTTGTTTCCTGTTTCTTGCTGTTTGTCTCTTGTCTTATTGACCAAAAAGGCAAGAGACAAACAGCAGGAAACAGAAAACAAAAAGCACATTGTAGAATTAGCCTTAGCCTCAAAAACAAAAGGTAAAAAACAAGAAACAAGAAAAGAGCACATTGTAGAATAGGCTTAAAAGTTAACGAACTTCAAAAGAAACAAGAAATACGTAGCAAGAAACACAATTGTCGATAAAACGGTTGTAAAGGGGAAAAAGGTAAGAGGTAAAAAGCAAGAAACATGAAACAAAAAGCTCATTGTAGAATAGTCTTTAACCTTGCGGTACACTTTCCAGCAATCGTTCGATTTTCGTATCTTCTCCGAGTGTTCTCTGGCCGTCGCCATAACTTGGCATTTGGCAAGAATGAAACCGTTCGAAACGGTACCGTTAATTCTCGCTCGCTCGCTCTCTCTTGTATCAGTTGTATCGACACCTGCCCTGCTTGCCTGTCTGCCTGCCTGCCTTCAGAGATCAAGCGCGGAAAATTCGATTCCGGGGGGGGGGGGGAGAAAGAGAGAGAGATAGTAAGCGAAACGGTAAAAGTCAGTGGCGCGTCTCTTTCTCCCGCGTTTCCCTCTCAAGGTTTCCCGAGCCGTGAATCGGTGAATGCCGTGATCAGCCGTGATCTCGGTGAGTCCCCGGGCTTTCCCCCCGTCACTCGACCGTCAATCGCAGCTTGCTCCGAACCTTGAAGGTTAGGGTATGTATGTATGTACGTTTTATCGTACGTTAGACTGGTACATATGTGTACGTAGAATTTGGCGATAGCACGCGCATCGTAGGCGGCGTGATGGGACGCATCGCTGATCGCGCATGGATGGCCAACAGGTGGAATGCGAATGGTTTCGCGACGTCCATGACGTCGTTGACAGGACGCCGCGGCGCGGCGCGTCTCTATCGACTTCTCACATCGATTATCTGCGAGAGATAAGAAAATGTGTCATTGCGACGTTATCGGATCATAGTGACTGTTCGATAGATGCAAGATCTAATGTCACGAGCGCAGGTGGTGCGTGTGAGTGATCTGTCCCTCGTTGAACAGAGTAACTCCAGATATTTCGTCAGACGGAACGAATCACTCTTCACAGCCTTCTGCTCGTACAAGCGTGTGAACTACCTAACGCACGATTCACGATTGACGTCTCGGTGACGACCTCAATGTTCGGTTTGTCAGGTAAAACGTGTTCCTAGCGTTTGATCGTTGCACGTTTGATCATTGTGGCTTCCGCCTTGTGATACAGTTTAGGTGCGACGAGCCAGGATTCTGTCTCCTCGGCATTTTCTTCAAATTCTTCCTGCATAGATCTCTTGCCGTTAGTAAGTAGATACTTGATAGAGAGAGAGAAAGAGAGAGAGAGAGAGAGAGAGAACTAATTAAAAAACAAATTCAAAACAAAGAAGAGTGAGAGATCTACTATGCCATTCTAGCTTTAAGACTTATGTTGTTTGCTTACAAAGTTCTAACATAAAATGTCATTTACTGACATCTATCTGATGTTTACTTTACAGAGGTTTCAAATTGATAAGGATGCCGACTAATCGGGAAGGCGAGACTGCAGTGACCATCCCACTGCAGTATAATGAAGCTGTAAGTGTATTTTATATTTACCACTGAAGAAATTAGTGGTATAGATGCATTATTTTGTTAATGTTTTCAGGCATTTTTTAAAATTCTTTATTCAATTGTATATTAAAACAGATATAACAGTTTATTCAATTGTATATAACAGATGTAATTAAAATAATGTTAAAATATATTAATCTGTCTCTCATATTATTAAAACTTTTCTTTCTTTTTTTTTTACTGTTTTCTTTCTGATTATTTTCTCTTCACTAGAAGCCTAGTTTTCCGTACAAATGACTCAGAACTAACAGGCTTAAGTGTATGATTCACTTGTAAAAGAAAGTATTTTATTTATATACCACTTATACATTATTGCTGGCAACATCTGGTCACATTTCTAAGAAATCTTGAAAATATAATGTTTGTTAAACGTTTTTATATCTTTGCCAAATATATTTAATTGTTTAATTTATTTTACAGCATTGGAAAGCTATTTTTGAGAAGTACGATCTTGACGGAGATGGAAAAATATCACTACAAGAGTTAAAAGCAATGATACGCGGTCCAGAGTTTTCTAAAGACATCCCTGCTGGGGTAGTCCGTACGATAATGCATAAAGCAGATCTGGACGAGTCTGGTTATTTAGAATATCCAGAATTCATAGCAATGGTTAGTCAGAGATCTTTTGATTCAATCTTTAAGGATACTAGAAATTATATTTGTTTTTATCTTTCCATATTTCCAAGAAATATAAAATAGTTCGAAATGATTAACATCAATTCAATAAATAAAAAGGGCCATGAATCGAAGCAAGTTATTATTGCTAATATTTTAATGTAAAAATTTTCATAAACAAATATTTCGACCTTTTAGGAAATCCTTTTATCATTTAAAATTGACTTTTATGTATATTTAGAATTTAACATTGAGAAGGACCACTTAGAAGGTCAAAACGTTTATGAAAGTTTTTACATAAAAATATTAGCAATAATAACTTGTTTTGGCTCATAGCCCTTTTTATTTATTGAATTGATATTCCATATTTCGTTAGTAAAACATTTTGGAAATCTCTAATTACCGATAATTTATATTAGTCATTTTTTGATATTTAGATCCATAGAAAGGACATGCAGGGTATATTCGGACACATTGTGCAACGATATGTACAATGTGTAATACCTCAACGACCATGCCGTGCACTAAGACAAACTTCCGTGGGCTCGAGGTATTATCCCCAGCGACAATTCAGTATTGTAGTGCAAGCTACGCCACCTTCTCCTCCTCCTTCGAATCGTAGCGAGAACCGGAGCTTTGTTTCCTTGAGTAGTAAAAGAGTTGCACGTTCTGCACGTTTTAATGGTTTACAGCAACAAACAAGTACAATAACGGAATCTTCTCTGTACTCTAGCGACTATCCAGATGGACTGTACGAAGAAGAGTACAGTTGTCGACCGCCCGCTATAGCAATGATAATCATATCGATAATAGAAATCATTTTGTTCATGTATGATGTGATTAAGCACAAATCTCTTTCTGTAGAAGGACCAGCAGCTACTTTATTTATTTATAATCCGCACAAGAGGTATCAAGCCTGGCGGTATCTAACATATATGTTTGTACACGTCGGGTATGTATAATACTCTATTTTATAACCTACGCATTTTCATAATATCTATTAAAAATTTGTGAATTTTTAATATTTATAATTCCTTTTGTGTTTGATAGAGTTTTCCACTTGGTCGTTAATCTCCTGGTACAAATTATGTTGGGTGTTCCATTGGAAATGGTTCATAAATGGTGGAGAGTATTGATAATATATATAGCCGGAGTACTAGCCGGTTCTCTTGGCACATCCGTTTCAGATCCAACAGTTTACCTGGCTGGTGCCTCGGGTGGTGTGTATGCATTAATCACTGCCCACGTAGCAACCATTATAATGAACTGGTCGCAAATGGAATTTGCCGTGCTACAGCTATTAGTGTTCCTCGTTATCACGAGTGTTGACGTCGGTCAAGCCGTATACAATCGTTATGTTCTTGATACCAATGATCAAATCGGCTATGTGGCCCATTTGGCTGGTGCTATAGCAGGTCTTCTAGTAGGTATAAACATCCTTCGAAATCTCGAGGTACAAACTTGGGAAAAAGTTATTTGGTGGGCCAGCATAGTTACTTTCACGGGTCTCATGACTGCAGCTATTTTATGGAATATATTGTATCCCTCGTATTACAACTGAAGATATTTATCTTATTCGAATTATTTAACGACACACAAACACACACATTGATAGAGAGAGAGACGAATATTATTACTGAAAGAAAAATAACTTGCCTTGAAATTGTAGGTATATGCATGAATGTGCTACATATTTTTATATGTTAGTTGATATACAAGATTGTATTCGTTATATCATTTTATAGTATAAAATAATAGATTTTTAATATCGAGCAAAATAGCTTACTTTTGTATAAACTTTATCGCGAAAAGATAAGACTCTAAGATACGTATAATAAGAATATATTAATTTTAAACACAGTATTTTTTACATACACGTTTTCGAGAGCAAATAGTAGAACAACAAATTCTGTGATACTTTTGCTACATGTATTAAATGTATGCAATTATTTGCAAGTTTGACACATTGAATAATAACATCGAAGCTATGCGGAATATTAATATTTCTATTTTAGAACTATTGCCTCACTGTCTGAAAATAAACTGCATAGATGAACTACCTCCATCAGTATATACGTTTTATTGCACACAAACAATGTTTTATTGCGCACATAAAACGTCAATTAATCTTTCAATAATACTTCATGCATTATACAAATGTATTCTATCTACAATAATTTGAATAATTCAGAATCTAAGATTTAAAAAAACTACAAAGTATTGAATTATTAATAAAATCTACACACACATACATTTAGTACTGTTTTTTTTATCAAATTTGAAAATATCATAATGGGACACAAGATTAACTTTTCAGATGCTTGTTGAAAGAAAAAAATTGTATATAATTTATAATTTGTATTCCATAATTTAGATATATGAATATAAAATTGCGTTCGATAAAATAATTAATTTCTTATTTCATGAGAACGTTGCAATTATTGGATGGATCCATATATTCGTTCGGTTTTTGAAGGTAAAATGAAACAAGTTTTTTTCATACAAAGAATGAATTTTAATCAATGATATGATTCTCCGTTTTTGCACTAACAAAAACCGAACGAATATATGGATCCACCCAATATATTCATAAAGTTGTGTAGACTCTAATGATATAAATCAATATGAATAAAAAACCTCTAAGAGCCAACGCTGGTTATTGTTGCGGATTATAATACAATTTATTATAATCCATTACAAATTGAAAATTTCCATATGTTTCGATACCCCGT